CACAGTTTTAGAATGATTTGTGAAAGCCTTGAATCCTTCCCCACCATACTTCAGCAGTGAGTTACAAAAAACACAATATGCTTGTCCAGCAACATTTATTTTCTTGCACCATGTGCCGACGGTATCCCCATTACCATCTCTCCGTTCAATCCAATTCCACCTAAATGCATTCCGGACACCTTCTTCTAATTGTATAATATCACTATTTATATCGAGAAACTTCATACTGAAATTCTCTTGCGTACATAAAAAAAAAATATTTCAATAAACGAAAACGAAAAATTTACACGTGCATCAATAAATGAAACGAAAATTTTACACAACGGAGGAAAAAAAGTTGAGAAGCGATCAATGACAAATAGCTAATATGGCGAAAAATCCCCCTTCTCTACTTATTGGCGCCACGCCAGGAGAGATAAGACCTTTGATCCCAGAGTCACGTGATCGCACATCTGGTCGAACGAAGTCTCTCCCCTTTTTTTCTGCCGCACCTACTTGCCGAAAAGAATCCAGAAGAGAATGTCCGAGAACCGGGGGAATGAGTCATAACTCGCAATAAGGAAAGACCAAAAAAGAAGTTTTTCCCCTTTTCACGCATTATCGCTGCCTTTGGAGAAAGAAAGGAAAAGTTTTCACCACACACACTGACCTTGTGTTTTCTGCTTTCAAAGCAAACAAAATTACCCAGATCAAAATAAATAATTCATTATTATTCCTACTTCCTTTTGAACAACGATCCCCGGAATTTCCGGGTATCGAAGTTCAAAATCCCCGGAGCACAAACACCCCTGGATAATGATGCAATTTAATAAACTAAAGCTTATGTATGTCCTTTTTTATCTGGGAGACATTGATGTGCAATTCAACTAATTACATTTTCAAAGGAATATACAAAATAAAGGAAATAATAAGTTTAAAAATGCCAATTTTGCTTTTGTTGACAAAAGATCAAAATACAAATTTTTTTGCCAAATTTTAGTATAAACATCTTACATTCTCAAGGTTATGTTCAAAACTGTTATAACTCGAGGTTTGCAAAAATTAATTCAAGATGAAGACAAAATGAATAATTTTAGAATTTCCAAGATGGCTAGTTTTTAGTATTGTTCACAGGAAGAAATGATCTTAGACACATGATTAGGGAAAGAAACTTGCTGACAAAACTATACTAAAGGAGATATAATAAACTAGAGGACTATTACCTCAAATTACCAGTCATAGTTCTTAGAAACAACCTTCACACTGTTTTCCAACTTTGGAAACATATATGTGCAGAAACTGTAAAGATGCTTATAACCCAAACTTTTGTAAAGCACGATAAAGATTCTGCAATGTTTTGGACTACTAAATCATGAGTTTTTAGCAAGTCTCATTATATCCTTGAAAGAAAGGTAACTAGTAATGAACAATTAACCATTTTGAATGGTTGTGACTACTCAACGGGTACAGATATTTTTCTCCAGACAGGGACTGCCACCTTTAAAATGATAATACTTCAGTTCTTAGAATTGATAATGTTCTATCATGGTTTGAAGAATGTAAGAATAAAGCTGAATACCATCCCTAGCTGAATACCTCAGTGATGCTCAAGCCTCTGATTACAATCACTAGGCTTGAGCATCAATGAGCTGCTGTACCTGAAAAAGAATAACATTTCCAGCCTAGCTAGAAGAATATCAGCAGTTTTTGTCATGTCATTGACAGAATTTGTAGACATACATTTAAACAAGAATCCAATCTATTTCAAAATATGGAAAACTTCCTTATGCAGTACTTTTTTCAAGTGTTCTCGTTATTTTGTACACCTATACCTCTTGCCTACAGAATTAACTGCATAGGTTAACCTAAATTATTTTCTGAAATTATACTTCAATATTAGTCACAATTGCATTCTATAGTTTAGAAGTGAAATTTCTTCAGCTTGCTGTGAACCTGCATTTATTTGGAAACTTCACACAGAAATACAGAAGATTTAAGAGTTAAACCATTTTGCCAGGATTAAAACAGGAAGGATTTTTGAAAAGAAAAACTAAAACAGAGGGTGGGGTAATACCACAAATTAAAACAAAAAGCTACTTACATAAATTTGATATAATTAATTAAGGACTGATTTAAAATGAACCAAAGTTACTAAATGTCTGATACATAGATGATCATGATACAAAGATAAAAATATCATCAATTAAAATACGATATCAACATGCTTCAGAAAAAACATGACAGGCATTTGATCTGAAACATGATCAAAATATCAACTTTTCGCAGAAAACATAACAGGCATCTTTAGAAAATATACGTTCCTGCAGCATCAAATGGCAATTCATTCTGCATTTGAGAGTTGTTTAAAGCAACACTGTTATTAATTACGTGATTCTTATAATTCTAATGAAATATTACAGAATGATCATACTCATTTAAAAGTTAGAAAGAAAGGATTCTGAGAATTTAACATGTAACACACACACATATATGTATTAATGCAGAAATAGATTTAATGATGTAGAAAAATTGATTGCATTGTTAAGATCCATACAGTAAAGTAACTTGGCAACTGAGGCAGATGAAATATTTATTTTTTGTTTCAACTGACAGTTGTACACAATTCACTTGGCCCTCTAATCATGACCGTTTCCAGAATATTTATATTTTTGATGTTGTTAAACCAGAAAAAAAGCAGCAGTCTATTTTTGCTAAGGAGCAGAAAGTGTGTAGTTATTTCAATATGGAAGCTTATAATAAGGAAAAAGGTTCTGGTTCAAAGTAGTTACGTCATCATTGTTATGTCAAAGCCATGATGAGTTAATCTAGAAATGAACAGTCTAGAAAAAGTTATTATTATTTTTAGAACAGTGAGAAAAAAATACCAAAATTAAAATGAGGAATTAAGACGCTACTGCTAATTCAAGTTATAATTTTCATTTACATATTTTTTATCTTATAAATATTCCCCTATTTCAAAGGGGAAAAGGCTTGATGACAGAAAAGTCTTTTTTAGAGAGAAAGCATTAATAAATGAAGAAAAACATAATTTGAAAAATACAAATCATAAAATTCTAACCAAAATAATTATTTAAATAGTTGTAAAATATAAACTTTGATAATACTGAGTCCTATTAACGTTATCAGTCCAAAATTCTTCATGTTTTAGAGTCCACATAATTACATTGATTCAGAGAAGTCTTTTCAAAAGTTTTCATGCAATGTCACAATTATAAAAATTTTATACACCCATTACTTATTTTGAATAATCACAACAAATTCAAAATTTTATACTATAACTAATTTTTATTATTACAACTTGCATTTTAACATCACTTGTAATAGTATTATTATGGTTTTTACTGCTATTATAACATTTCAAATTTTCTTATTTACACACACCAGAAGACCTCAAAACTTTCTCCATATACTTATTCATTAATTTGGATATATCCAATTTGGCTGATCAGTGTGTTTAGCACCAGTGGCCCACAGATGCTCAGAGAGTTACTTAAAAAGGCATCTGTTCCTAACATCCTGTTATGGTAACTGGCCTTTGTGAGCTGCAGTTAAACATTTCATTTCCTTTTATACAAAAAAACAGCATTTTATCATAAGGTGGGGGACTTCAAAGTTTATATTGTATGAGGAGGGTAAAAGGAAAAATTACACAGAGACAAAAATAGGCCTCTGTTTTGAACCATTACTCCCTCAATATCCTCTATCTACAAACAATTATGCAATTATTAATTAACCATAACATTCATTTAACATAATTTCAAATTTAGTTAATTACTTTAATCATAAAATATCACAATCATTCATAATTTTTTAAATTTTAAGGATTTCTTTATTCATTATAACAATATTCACTGTCAAAATATGTATTAAATAGTTTCTATATTATACTCAAAACACAACTTTTATATCCATTTTCTGTAGTAATATCCAAAATTACTTTATTCATTTTTTACACTTACCACAACCTTAAAACAATTCAAAATTCTTAACATTCAGATTTTTAAAAATAATCTTGTTCTTAAAAAACTATTCAAAATTTTTAAACAGTAAGACAATTTTCTAAATATCAATCAGCAATTTTTAATAACCTTCTCTAAATAAAATAATTACAAAACTTTTAATTACTGAGTTCTATTAAATATAATTAAGAAAAATTAAATCTTTTGATACCATAAAATTTTAATCATTTTCATCAAATAATGATAAATTATTAAAATCCAATACAATAAGAAAACAGCATTAATGTTTAAATTTCAAACTAATAACAAATAGAAATTTCTGTATGATTACATTCCTAGCTACACTGATTAAAACCATACTTTCATAAAACATTTGATGTAAAGTTTTAAAATCCATAGCAGTATTTGAGTTTGGTTTCACTAAAGTGACCTCAATTTAATACTTTATGAATAAAAAAAAATAATTATAAAGTTCTGTTATGGATAACAGCTGTTGGATTTATGACACACAAATTTGAAGCACTTAATGACCTTCAAAAGCATTAGGAATGCATAGCTGAAATCATTTGGAACATCCCTCGCTCCTAATATAAACACTGTCCTATATTAATTTTGAAAGCACAGATTTCTTCCACTTCTGGATATAGAATAGATCAAGAGTGATGTTTCATATGGATGTGGAATAAAATAAAATTGGTTGCCATAGCAAAGCTTCAATTCTTATCATTAACATTCTTATTTGAATTTTGTAGATAAACTAAATTTGAAGATAGGACTCATTCTGCACAGATAAATTTAACTTTCAGGCAAGAATTTCTGAGATACGTATACTGTATTTTAACTGAAAAGTTTTACATGATGCACTACTTTTAATTTATATTCTTATGACATTTTTCATTTTTTGCTCCAAAACTGTAATAATTTACTTTTCATACGAAGCAATGTAAAAATGCAATCAAGACAAACATCCAAATTATTTGTGAAAAACTACAAAAGAAAAAAAAATCTTAACTACAACAAAAAAATTACAAGCTTGCTTACTTCAAATATTTGTCTACAGTCTGACTCTGAAATTATTTCTCTTAATTCATCTTCAACTTTCTTAACAAATAAGTTCATTCTTGTTCTAGCAGTAGTAGAAAATAAATCTAATAAAGTATTCCGATACTGTAAAAATTAAAGAAGAAAATATGAGGCCAAGATTATATATAAAATTCAAATAAATAAAGTGATATATAAAATGTGATTATGAGAGTGTGCTTATATATATGGCTATATTATTTAAAAAGAAAAACATTTACCCTGTCTAATTTGTTTCCCAACCTAGTAATAGCATATAAGGATTCTGGTATGGTATTCTGAGGCCACTGTAAAGAGATAATACAGATAAGAAGCAAAAAAAGAATAAACATAATTTTTTAACAAAATCCAATTAAAAATACATATTTTAGAGCATGTAAAATAATTTTTAAGGCAAAGAAAAGTTACATCCCTCCTATTCTTAATTCATTAGCTCTCAGTCAAAATTAACTTAATTTCCACACATTATTTCTATAGATTCTTTTAATATAAAATGTAACATATGTTTAGTAGGTCAGGCATTGACCGCAGTACAAAATTTACATATCAGCAGTTATGCTACCTTAGAAATAATAAATATGATTATTTTTAACAGAATTTATATATCAGCAGTAATACTACCTTAGAAATAATAAATATGATTATTTTTAAAGATGTAATATCTTAAGAAATAGTTTTTAAAAAAATATATACATATGTAAATTATCCCAAATAAAAGTATACTTAAACTATAAACTGGAAAACACATAAGTTACATTTTGTGCTAATACTGTTAATGATACCTTTTTTTAGTTACAGTACACACATAAAGGCAGTGCTGCAATGAAACTAGATCTGGATTGATTTTACTTGATTGGGTAACCTATACTTACAGCAACCAATATGCTAAACTAAACGACATCTCTAGCTCCGAATGATAATTATCAGTGAGTGTATTCTCAGTTTGAAGAAACACAAGCAAATTTTTATATATTAAATATTTTTCTGATAAAATTATAATGCTGTTCAAATGATAAAAAAGGGGGGCAAACACTTAATTATTATTTACTCACACTAGTATATTTTTGACACCACTGGAGTTTTATAAGATGCAATTTTATTTCTGTTTTATTCTTGAATACTGCTCCCAGCCTCCAATCTATGTACAACTTTTATTAATTGATACAGGTAAACTGTTGTCTACATCTAACCTTTGGAAGCTGAACAAAACATTTTGTGGGTCAAATATCTCTGGAGAATAGAATACACTGTACAAGAGATTAATGTAATTGAAATACACCACATGATAAAATTTTCTGTCTAGAAAACACTGCCTAGAGAAAATGTAAGTCCTATTTATTTTCATGTTTTTATTAGTTACTTGTTCATTTTTCTGTTTTTAATTGAAATAGATAAATTTTGATTTTGTTTATTTTTCTAACTTTAGGTCTCGAATTGTGATTAAAAAAACTCTTAAAGTTGTTTCCAAACAAAATAAATCAGTCACATTATCTTCATTACATAACCTCCCCACAACTGATCTAGAATATTTGTTTTTATTTTAGTTCATATTTTGTAATGATTAACAATATTTACTTAAAAATAAGACCCCAGTTACATTTTACAGTAAATTTAAAAAACAGATAAAACTGCATGTGAAAATACGATGAGAACAGCATTGATTCTGATTAGAATTCATTTACTTATGATTTAAATGAATGACAAGTTACTAATTAAATACAATACTTTAAAGAAGAGAACAAAAAAATTAATGAGGCATATCTGTAACTAATAATAGCTGATCCAAGCCTAAACTGATATCGCTTAGATTGATATGGCTATTATAATTAGTTATGAAGTTTACATATACAATCTGGTTTATTTAGCATTTAAACAATGTAACTATTCTAACTTCTACTCATCATTCTGAAATTTTATATATAAAAAATACTCGACACTACAAAATTTTATAACAAAAATGTAACAGAAAAAAAAAAAAAAAAAAAAAGAAGTCTTTCTAAGTAAAATAATACTAGCCCTACCTACAGCACAAGTCCTATACATACTTTGTAAACCATACAAAGTACCTACAGGAATTGTGCTAGACCAGAAAAAGAAAGCACAATCACTGAGCTCTAAAAAAATATGCATATATCATGTATCATAAAGTACTGAACTTTATGCTCTAGAACAGGGGTTCTCAACCGGTGGTACGCAGAGAAATACAGTATTTTTAACTATTAAATTCAAAAATTAAAACCTCCAATATCCTGACAGAGTTTTTCTTTAACACTCGTAAATTTATGCGATCTGAGCTTTGTTCAAGAGTGGTGGTAGTACTAGTACTTTGTAGTGATAGTACTAAAGGTTTTCAATTTTTGCTTAGATGGTATGCATTAGTCAAAAGGTTGAGAATCGCTGCTATGGCTGTCCTCTTAATGGCATTATATTATAACTATTGTTATTTTACAAAAGTACTTTTCTTTAAAGGAATGTTTAATAATTTGCTAGTTTTAATATTAATTATTTTTAACTTGTCAGAGATTACACAGAGTGATAGGTCACTTAAATTATATGAAATATTTTTACAAAATACAAGTGCTAATTAGGAACTTGTTAGATACATCAAAATGCAAATCAATTCACTTTCCCTAATACACCAATTCTCTGTAATGATAGTTATAGGGCATATAAATCTTATTTAACAATGTATGATATTTAATTTATATTTTAAAAAATACTAAATTTATATTAATATACTCTACACAGTGGAACTTTGATCTGTCATTTTTCAATGATATTAAGATAAAAGAAAAAATATTATAAAATTATTAATTATTATAAATTATTATAAAATTCTATATTATTAAAAAATAAGAAGAAGAAGTCAGAAAATTTACATTTCATCAATTTAATAATATGATATAAATAAATAACATTTATTACTTTCAGCATCAACAGATTGCATTAAAAAACTGTCTTTCAACCAAAATAGTCACACACTGGCTTTTGCCTTTTGGCTGAATTTTGCCTTAATTGAAAATAAAAGCTTTTACAGGCTTATAAAGTACAGGCTTTATAATGCTTTTAACTTTATGTAAGTTTTGTAAATCTATGTGAAACTCAACATCATGTGTAAAATCCCAGAAAATGAACAAAAGTTCATAAAAATGAAGTTATTACAACTAGAAATAATTGAAGTTACAAAGTAACATTTGGAAATGATGCTAATATTGTGAATGCAGAGTTCAGGGCCAGTGTAAAGCAACATTATATTACATTGTTGCCAAATTTACACTCCATACAGTAGGTATTGCAATAATAAATATATACTTCACATTTTTTCAGAAAATCCACATGGGAAATGTTGTGCCTGGAACTTCAATTTATAAATGATTAATGCCCCAAAATAAATGATTAAAGCTGGGGCTTCCAACAGGGTTGGCATCGACTCTGGGAGATAAAATTTTAAAGAATATCAATGATGATCAAAGGACTATAACCAAATATGTGCAGGCAGTTGATCAGTATAATCAAATCCCACTACATACACATACACATACACACACACACACACACACACACACACATAAAGAAAAAAAGAAAAGAAAAGAAAGTAAAATAAAATTGATGATTCGTTTCTAATAATATAAAATCATATGATATAGAAAAGAAGAATTTATATAAAATAAATATAAGGGGGACAATATACAGATGCAATTTTCTGTTATTGAGAAAGATTATATATCCTCAGAAGATATACAGCTATATATATATATATAAATGTATAGCTGTATATATATATACAGCTATACATTTGCAAAATTTAAAAGATTATTTTAATATTTGTTTTAAGACATTGAAAATATGAATGTGCCAGTATGGCTCATAGAATTGCAATACATTTCTTGATATGGCCCACCAGCGGCCGAGCGGTAAAATCACTGAACACTGGTAGTTTGATCCGAGGTTCGAATCCCGCGAACGGGCTGGCTGCATGGGCATTCTCGTGGTTTTCCCCATGTGTAATGTGCATACGAGCCAGTTTCCCTTAGAAAGTCCTCCATGAAGGCATTCCTTCTCTTAGGCAGATAGCCCTAATGTGCTTTGCTGTATTCTCAATACAAGATTTCTTGATATTACGGTGGAAGAAGAGTTGATTGCATTGAAGGAAGATGTTCAAGAACAAGTCTTATTCAAAACATAGGGTTATGCCAAATTTTGGAATTTAAAAGTTATTCTCTAGAAATATCCCAATAAGTTGTTATCCAACAAACATTATTGATTTTTCCTCTTCTTATTTAATGGAAATAGGTTTTAGCCAAGTCATTAATTTAATATGAAAAAAAAAAAAAAAAAAACAAGAAACAGGTTATATATTTTAGAATGAGGTGATTTAAGTTAAGCAATTTTATGTGAAATATTAAAAAAAAACTGCATCAACATATTAAGCATAGCTATCACATAAATTACAACTGATCTCTTCTGAGCAATTACAGCCTGTGATTTTGGTTCTAAAAAAACTTATATTTGTAAAATTAAATATAATAAGACATAAATCTAATACACAATTTTTTCTTAACATTTTTTCCTATTTGTAATCTAATTGTTAAGTTATTTATATGCAATCACTTGTATTATGATTATGTTGTATGCTGTAGATTATAGAGAAAAATGTAAGAGAATTGATGAAGAAAACCATTCTTTTAAAAGGCAGTAAAAGCTAAAAAAGGGGGTTGAGAACCTCTAGTTTAGAGAAGAATGGCTATGGAATACCATTTTGTCTTAAAAGTAAGATCCTTTATTGGGGGGGGGAGAGCTATATTTTTGTTCAAAAACTTGGTAAAGTTTTACAAACGGGTATCTAGTAAAATTACAAGGCAACAGGAAGGAGTTTAATTATCATACTATGTAGAATAATTACACTGTTTTGTTAATACATAAATTGCACAGGTAATTACCACACATATAAAATGCCACTAATTATGATAGCCACCTCTAGATGAACGATTTCATTTTAGCCCTCCATCCATTATACTGGTTACCAGTACTTTGCAAAGTAATATAATATTGCAGACTAATATATTACACTTAATTATGTAGTTTACTGCATTCCAATTAAATATTCATCTACATTTTTATTTCTTAAAATTTATGCTAAAATGTAAGGAGGATCCTCTATTTGAGGAAGGGGTCTTATCTTTGAGTAAATACGATATTTATTATAGATCTTGATTCAGAATCAAAAATTAGAAACAATGCATGCAGGAATCACAGAGATTCTATTGTACTTTTTAAAATATCTTGAATTTTAATACCTTTAAAAATCTGGCATTTAATATAAAAATACAAAGTTGACAAATTTGTTACATTCAATTAATTGTTCTCTGTATCAATACACAGATTCATATTTATTTAAAAAATATGCACTGATGTTTTTAGTTACATAAATGTCTCTCTAAAATATTACCTTATTCTTTAGTTTCTGGGCACCTAAATTCATGAGAATTTCATCCAGCAATTTTTCAAAGTCACTTCTGTTAACAAGGACACTTAAATGGCTTTCTGCTATAAGCTCTTTCAATTCACTGTAAGTCATGCAAAATTGTGCACGTATAGCTTCACCAACAAGATCCCGCAAATCCGTTTTCACATCTTCGGGAAGAGAAGTTTCCAGAAATGTGGGCGAAACATCTAACGTTGCTATCTGAAACTGCTTAGCTTTCCCAGCCTTTGTTGGACTCTGGCCTGAGCGTTTTTTGGGAGAATATGCTCTTTTGCTTTTGGTGTCTTTAGATCCACTCATACTATCAGTACCACTTTCCTCTCCTTCCTCACTCATCGAGCTTCGAGAATGTCGCTTCTGTCTTGGTCGAGATGTGGAAGGGGAGATAGATTTTTGAGGGGCAGCTGAAAGTAATTAAAAAATATTAAATCAAGGATCCAGGGTCTTGTACAAGGGATCTTTTTTTTAACCTCTGATGGCTCATAAAATAAGACAAAAGTAAAGAACAAAACGAACTTAATACTAAAAGTTACATGTATGAACACGGTTACAATTCAACAAAACTGCAGTGAAGATTTAATAATTTGTCATAACAGTGAATGAGCTTTCTGATCTCCTCTTCAAAGAATATTGCCAGTGATTTTTCTAAATCACTTTTATTAACAAGGACACTTAAATGGCTTTCTGCTATAAACTCTTTCAATTCATTGTAAGTCATGCAAAACTGTGCACGTATAGCTTCACCAACAAGATCCCGGAAATCCATTTTCACATCTTCGGGAAAAGAAGTTACCAGAAATGTAGGTGAAACATTTAATGTTGCTATCTGAAACTGCTTAGCTTTCCCAGCCTTTTGTTTGAAATGCTCAAGCCTATCTCTCTGTCTGGGAGAATTGTTTAGCTTTCCCAGCCAGGGAAATGGGCTTGAGCATTCAAACAAAAGAAGATGAATACAGATTTCTAGAGACAGCCTTCTCTTTGACAATGCTCATCCTCATACTGCTGCTATAACCGAACAGCTTCGAGTTATTCTGAAGCAATTTCAATGGGACATGTTTAATAAACTAGCATATTGTACTGACTTAGTCAAGTGATTTTCATGGCAATGACTCCAGACTAATAAGGAGCTTCAAAACAATATTTAGGCCCCTCTCATATCACTGGCAACAGCGTTCTTTGTAGCTGTGATTAGAGGCATTAATAAAATGTAACTCATTTAATAAAATATTCTTTCATTAACAGAACACTTTAGGCAATAAAACAACCTGGCATAGACTTTAAACAAGACTCTACCATTTCTGAGAGCTGTTACACCTAGGTTCTTCTTCTTCAGAAGTAAAAGTTTAAGGAATGGAAGGGTAAAATTTTTCAGCTTCTGAAGAAGTTTGTACTGTATTTCCAAAATAAATTTTTAATTTTACATCTGCAAAAATTTTGATCACAGGTTAATAATATTTATAAGGCTTTTTTTATAATAAAAGGCTTAAACAAATTATTTGCACTGTCAACTTTAAATCAATGCCAATTATTCTAACATTATCAAAACCAAACTGCTTTTGGCATCACTTCAACAATGATTTATTATATAATACTACTGCTCAAAAAGAGAAATAAAAAAGTTAAACGATACAGAAAAATGAGAAATCATTTAAAGAAAACAATTTTATACATTGAGGCAAGTCTATGTCACAAATTATGTGTTCATTTAGTGTGTTTTACCGTAGTTAATCAAAAAAAAATTAACATCAAATTAACTACTTTTTTTTATAAACATGATTTTGCAGCTACAATACGTCATAAATTATGTGCTCATGCACTTTTCAATTAAATACAAGAGAAAACAAATTATAATAAATTGATAATTAACTATTTTGTTTCATAATTATTTTTTGGCTAAAAATAAGGACCAGAAATATAATGCCATCATTTAAGTAGATCATAAAGCACTTAAAATTTGATAGTAAAGTTAAGTATTTTGATGGTTGCCGTACTGATATTCAATGGTATTAGTCAGAGAGGAGAATGCTATTACAATTACAAGACTTACTTTTTTTTTTTTTTTTTTTTTTTTTATGTCCTCCAAGCTACTGATCATTCAGAGAGGGGGCAAACTATAAGAAAAGTTCACCAGAAGAAGGTTCATTGTATTTTAAAAGATGATGGAAATAGTGTTTTATGTTTTATAAGAGTTTCAAATTTTAATGCAAAAACTACAATTAATTCAGAATTAAAATTAAAAAACAGCTCTTACATTGACAGCTATTTTTTTTTTTTTTAACACAGAAGCTCATTAATTTCCTCATGGTACTAAGTAATTTTAATTTGATAAATACAATGGAGAAAAATGCCATAGTAACTTTTATGGTAATCCAGCAATAACTCATTAATGAAATGCAGTATCTTAATCTGTGGATATTATTACATAAGATGAAGACAATTGTCAAAATATATTCTAAATAAAAACAAATAAATTTAATAGTGAAAGTACATCAGATACATAGCTTACCTTCTGGATCAGACAATCCTAAACTGAGTTCCTTTACCAACTTTTTATACCTCAAATTCCATTTTATTTCTTGACTTTGCTCAGTACCTCGATGACTGAAATAACATAACATGATTTGAAATATACAATGTAAGAAACAAAATTCAAAAGCTGTTGGTTACAATACTTTGAAATATTTAGAACAAGTACTTTTAATTATTTAAATCTTTTACATATATCAAGTAACAAATTGGTAAGGTATTCATAATATAAAGCATAATACTTTATTTTTGCATAACATCTCCAACAGAATTAAAATTTATAGCTATATATATATAAAAATTTCAATAATCAGAAAAAATTTTAGCAAGTATAAGAAATTATGTATGAATGCTAAAATATATACTTAATAACTCTCAACTTCACCAGTCAAGACTTACTTTTTTCACTGGTTGACAATTATTTATTTAAATTAAAATTTCTTCCCTTCAAATCACATTTTACACACAATTAATTTAAAATGAATGATCACATACTTTTAAAATATACGGATGAGATTAGTCATCACTATTCCGCTTTAAGGACCGTAAAAAAATTGCAGCGAAAATGTATGCGTAAAAGCGCCAAATCTAGCAAACGTACCCATTTAACCATTGTGGCACAGTGTGTCCGGTCTGGACACACCTAAAAATTTCCTTCTGTACGCACAGAAAAACTGAATGAAAAAGGAAATATAGGTTACTATAGGTTACCTTGAATCTTCTTTATTTATAGTAGATGGCAGCTCAACACAAACCAGTCCATATATTTTAGCCATGTTTAGTTTTTTAAGACTTTCATTTTTTCAAAGAAATCTTCCACATTTTTTTTAGGGTATAAAAGGAATAGTTTGAAAAGAAATTCCTATGCTATTTTTTTGGCTGTATGTTAATCTCCTTATTCTATATTAGTTTTAAATTTTTACCTTGAAATCTTACCTAAAATCAAACGGCGAATCCTAGGTGTGCTTAGACCGGGCTCACCGATAATCTAGGACAACTGAGAGTCTGTATTCTTTGTTTCTCCACATCTCATCGGTCAGTTCATTGACAACGATGCTCGTTTCAGCACTCTTTTCGAAGCTCTATTCAATCAGCGTGCCCACTTTGGGCACACCCACAGAATTAAACGATAAGTGCTATCTTCACAAAATTTTACTTGTGTACTCCTGTAGGCCTAATTAGACTGCCTAACTTTTTTTTTTTTTTTAATCTAAACTCCAAATTTAAAAGGTAGTGTGCCGGAAAGGGTTAACAGCACGCCAAATTTAGCTTACGCGCTGATTTCAAATTGCGTAAGTTTAGATAGTTCTCTATATTTCTTAAGATGCCACTGAAATACTACTTTAATTTTTAAATCCTTTTTTGATTTTATTGAGAATTGCCCATGACGAAAAGTCTGCAATAGAATTTTTTCTAAGAAAAGGCATCATTCATTATAGAAAATTATGTTTGAACAACCAACGAGATGAAATTATGCTTTAGCAATAACTCGGTAGTGTAATAGCAATGCAGGAATCCACTCAGTTATGTTTAACCTTTTTTATATAAATTATAATCATAAAAAAGTATTATATGATATTAACCGTTCATCTAAATTAAAACAATAATCTTTAGATAGTTATTTTCTATTATACTTCCTTTCTTGCATTAGGGTTGCCACAATTATTTTTGGCAGCACTAGCATCAACAATAGTTTGGCGATTTTTTACAATCCTCAAAACGGAATAGTACCTCATTTTATTTATAAAATAATACCAGATTAGTTCATATTTTTTTATAAAATATATTGAATAACAGTAGAAAATAGTAAAAGTCCTATTCAGTTAAGAGAAAAGACACAAAATCCATGCTCATGTATAATCTATCAACAAAAAAAGATTTTTTGCTTCAGTTGTGAAAAATAAAAATAATAAAATTTTTTAATAACATAAACATAGCCTGTACATTGAAACACAAAATAACTTATGTCTACATTTGCAGCATTAATGATTTATAAAAAAAATAAAAACAGCAACAATAACTTGTCACATAGCAAAAGTTAAAGATTTAGTAATTAAATTTATTATTATTATGATAATTCATGTTAATAATTTCTTGTTCCAGTGCTTTTCTAAAAAAGTATGAAAAATAAATGAATACTTAAAAACAAAAGTTCTAACAAATGTATGTCTTTATAGTTAGTAAAAAGTATTGTTCAATTATTCTCATTTATCTTGAAATTTAAGAAAATAGCAAAACAAAGAAACAGTCAAAAAATATAATTGTTAAAAATGACTACAGAATATGCACAAAAGATACTTTAATCCATCATTTACACAGTGTCCGTAATTACTTATTAAGGGCCAAGCAAAACATCTAAATTTTAATTTGATTGATAAATTTTCTATAATGCGAGTTAAATAAAGCAAACTTTTACTTTAACTTGCTGTAACACATTGTAGCAAAAGTTCAAAGTACAATAAAAAAGAAGCAACAATTTTAATTTTTTCCTACATTATAATTATATTCCTTATTATAATTTAAAATAAAACAACAACAAAAAAACTTTTTTCACTGAACTACATTTATTTGAAAGCTTAAATATTTATATCCATAGGGTTACAGCTATTTCATTAATAGCATTAAGAAAAAAAAATAGTTTTTCCATATTAATTATATTTCATTGATCTATCAAGTGCAAACCCTAAAATGCAAATAGCTATCCAAAAACATTTTTACAACTACAAAGATATGCAAATCAAGGGATTTATTCACCTTTCAACAAATTCTGCATCAAAAGGGAATTTGAACTCCCACACTTTGTTGGATTTAACAGCAATCTGACTAATCATACAAGTAAGATCTTCATTAGGTACCTGAAACAAAAAGTTTAAAAGAAAAAGACCTTTAATTTCAAAAATGTATTTGATGTATCACATAAATTAGTAAAACATTCAACACACTGCAGATGAGAAAAAAGTTTTATTCACATAACTATAAGGATGGAGATTCTTATAAAATGATGTCACTCTCTACGACAGCACAATTTCGTTGCTGACCATAAATATTAGAAAGAAAATAAAGAAGATTTTGAAATGTGAAATACTTATTTTAATTACTCTATTAATATATGCAAAAGGTTTCCCTTACTCCCATCACTAAAATTGAAAGATTCCAAAAAAATCACTACTGCTTATCAGAAATGAAATATATTCAATTTTAGCTATAGCTTAATGTGATCATGCTTGTCCAAGGCTATTTTCACAATATTAAATGGTCAGAATAAATACCCTTTGAAACAACAATAGAATTTAATTCATTTAATATAAAAATATCAAGAATATATAAATAGCTTTTTACACCGCATTTTAATATGAAAATGCAAAAGCTTCTTTAAGAAATGTTCATAACATTTACGTAACATTTCTAGAAATAATTTGACCAATGATGTACTTCTATTCTTAATATTTGGAAGACATTCTTCATTGAAAAAGAATATGCCAATGCAACATTTAAAATTAAGCGAAAATCAACATTAGTTTGTTATACATGCTTTCAACCCCCCCACACACACACACACACACAAAAGAAGGAAAGAATTCTGCCCTTTTTTTTTTAAAAGCTCAAAAGGAACTATTAGTCTCAAAATGGGATTTTGTGCCAGTTCACTATAAAGGGAGTATCACTTTTCAAATTATTGCACCCAAATGTTATCGGCCTATATTATTTTTTAAAAAAAATTAAATAATGAAGAATCTACATGTATGTTCCTCGCATACTGAAAAAAATTACTTTTCCTCATCAAATTTTGAATAATGTAGCCTCCACTCGAACATGTGCACCTGGAGGCCTGAATTTTGAATTCATTTTATTTCATATTTTGTAAATCTTTAATGAAATTTTTAATGACAAACTCAATGATCAGAAAGACAGCAGTGGCAACACTGTTCAAAATGAAACATTTTTATCTCCAGGACACAAAACTGTTACTATTCCGAAAAAGATACAATATTTATCTTTCAATTTTAATTAACAAACTCAGCTCTATGAAAGGAATAAGTTGCCATGGCTAGAACTAAAATACCAAGCGGCATACCTTCCAAGCGGCAGCATGTTGCAATTCAGTAAAGCCTAAGATGCTTTAAATTGAATATGGAAGGTTATTGAGTAATAATATAATAAGCGATTTAAAAGCAATAAAGACAGGTTTTAAGAATTTTTGTTCTAGTTTTTAATGTGATTAATTTAAATAATCATGAGATATATAGTTACTTTTTTGGTACTGTTCTATTATTGGGATCGGATTCAGATATTGCCAAAAGCTGATGATTTGGCAAAAAATTCGATATGAATAAATGTAATCAGCATAAGCATAAATATAATCACCAAAATATTTTAATTACGATAAATAAAGTAATAAAATACCATATGGTTAAGTTGAAGAAAAATCCAAGGAGGGGGGACAACGGACAGTTGTTAAATTAGAAATTTTTAATGTCAATTAAACAACTTGCTGAAGAAATCCCCCCCAATTCATTTATGTTTTTGTGCCCTTTTTTTTTTCAGACATTAATTCCTTGTTCCTGAAGAAATTGTATGGAAGATATAAGCCCTAATTCCAATATTTAAAGCTGTTTAACATTGTAAAAAAAAGAGGAAATTTTCTATAGAAAAAACCAAAATAGAATAAAATGTGTGGGAAAACAGTACTGATGTAAAATAAAGTCATAATATTTAAAAGTAATTTTTATTCACAACAGTACACATTGGAATATAAAAGCACTGTTAAATCATTCATTAAAATTAAATTGCTAAATCAGAAAAATAAATTAAGTGCAGAACCTTCTTCTGCTTCCCGTCAATTCTTATTGAAAGACAAGAGTAATATAAGCAAAAACATTATTCTTTGTGCGAAAGCTGATTTAATTTACACAATGAAAATAACTTATTCTCCAAATCAAACTGCTTAAAAATAGAGGTGAATCATTAATACTTTTCTATAATTATGTTAGGAGTTATTTTTATTCCGATTTTTTTTTTACTACTACTGAGTCATATTAACCATAATTTTGGGTTAATTATATTTAATTAAGAGTCCATTGTACTTATTACAAACATATACTATTTCCTTATGCTATAATATAATAGGAATTACAAATCTATTCTATCAGGCAATATATAAATATTTCTATGATTTTGTGTTATACATCATGAATCTGACAACTTCAAACTTGAACGATAATATGAAACAGAAAAACTTAAAAACTAAAGTAAAATGACTGATTATGTGTGTTTTGGGGTGAATATGTATAAAGAAATTCCAAATTTTTTTTCCTTTTTCCACTACTCCATAATTACCAAAATAATATAACTAAAAAATTAAGAAAGGTATAGGAAAATTTTCTTACATAAATTGCAGACAGAACTTCACTGCGGGTAATGCACCTTGATTTTGTGAACATCCACACCTAAAAGAAATTAAGGTAAAATTAAAAGTTACTTTCTTGGAATAATCTCTAAATATAATAAAAGAAAGAGTCTGTCTGAGTGTGTCTTTCGTTTGTGCTGCACGTAAGCTAATAGACCCAGGGCTATGAAATTTAATACACAGGTGCATCTAGACAAGTGCCAGTGCACCTCGAAGCAATTTTTTCAAATTTTGAATCAGATTTTTTTATTTTATCTTTTTTGATGAAATCGCATCATTTTGAATAGATTCATTCTTTTAGAAATATGGTTTTGGCAACAGTTTTTCATTCAATGCTTTGTATACTGGACTGCTGACTGTTGAAAATATGAGATAAAATATTATTAATTACACTTTCCTTTTCTGAATCTTTTGTTTTTTGTTTCTTTCATGTTATTTATTGCTTAGTTTACTGTTTTTAAAATACTGAAAAAGTTTAATACGATTTTTTTTCCAATAGGAATTTGGTTAAGTTATTAGGATAATTATTAATATTTGTATTAAGGAATATTGCTCATTTCATGCTGCTTATTTTCTTTTTATTTTTGAACACGCAACACACACATCGCAAAACTTCTTATTCTGACGCGCATGTGCCTCACGAGGAACAACAGAAAGAATTTCCTTTTTTCTTTCTCTCTCTTTATTAGCTAATGGCAAAGAGGTTTGTATATTTTGAATTATGTCATCCACAAAGTTCAATTTTGATTGGTTACTGCTTTCTGATGATAGTTTCATTCTTAAAGAAATAAGGTTTCGGCAACAGTTTTTCATTAATTGCTTTGGATACTGGACTGCTGAGTGTTTTCTCTTGAAAATATGAGATAAAATATTAATAATTATACTTTCTTTTTCAGAACTTTTTTCATGTTATTTATTGCTTGTTTCACTCTTTTTAAGATACTGAAAAGTTTTGCATGGTTTTTTTTTAGGAAACAAAATTTTTAGCTGCCTTTCTACCACTTGAATTTCCGACAGGAAGTTGTTTAGTTTATTTATTAGGATAATTAATGTTTGTATTAAGGAATAATGCTTATTTCATTGTAATGTTTTTGTACATAATACATTTTTATTGAATTTTTTTTTTTTTTTTTTTTTTTTTTTTTTTTTTTTGTTTCTTTTGTTCTGTTTTTTTTGATCAAGTTGTTCTGCAGAGTAAGTTTTTTAATTTAATGTTTAGTGATCCCTTTCGGCATTTTTCCAGTACATTTAAAAGACCGATGAAGGTTGGCCACATCGTGGCTAGTTCATAATAAAATAAAGATAAAAAATAGTACTATCCTATTTTAAATATTTATACGTAATTGATATTTTTTTATATTTAATGAAAGAATTAAACATTCAATTATACTACAAACTATTAGCAAAATATTTTCAGAATTAAACAGTGATTTAGCATTGTAATAAATTATATAAGACATGTAACTACGGCCAACTCCAAGCATAGGCTACTCAGGCAGCCATGATAGGAGACTTTCATTAAGTTACCCAGACAGGCACTTTTAAGATACTTTCCTAGCATGCATTTTCACCCTTATCTCTATTATTTATGTTCCAACTCCCTGTGCCTTTATCCACTGCTGATACGTTTGATCTTTGAAAACCCAGCTCTTTTGTTTGCCCTCCTTCTTCTTCCTTCCTTCTATGTCCCTCTTGAGACCTGCAGTCAAGACTCCTTTGTGTGAGGTTCCTTCTATGTCCCTCTTGAAGCTGCAGTCAAGACTCATTCATATAAGGGGCCCACAGAGCTTTACAAAGTAACTGAGATGCAGCATGATGTGTTAGGCTCAACACCCATCAGATATTGTAACATTAATATTATTATGTACTTTTATTAGAATGCAGGTTTCTTGTAAAGAAATAATATTGTGATAGTTAATCAGTATATTATCCATGGCAACTTTTCATGTTCTTACTGTAATCTGATTTTTCAGACACTAAAATATTGCATAATTTTCCCCCTCATGATTTTTAGACAATAAAATTAATTAAGAAAAGGAAAAATGCACAAGGAAATACAATGTATCAGTTTGGCTGGCTGGTGAATTAATATTTGATAGACTATACTTAAATGAAACATACAACTAATTAATTTTTCTAAGACATACAATATTAACCATGACTTTCAGTACTGCAAAGTCAAAAAAAGGTACATTCAAAAATACTTGTTTGAAATTTTAGAGAATAAAAGATTACAAGAGTTCATTTTATGCTGCTATTGTGATATTTTTGATAATAAAATACATCAGTTTGAAAGAATGGTGGAAAACTGGAAATATATACAGTATTTTGGCTTCATAGATTTTGATACATGAATCTAAATATGTTTTGAATGACCCGCATATATAATAACAGAAAATAAAAAAATTACAAACTGTAAGCATACCACATAGTCTCTTGCACTGATAAGCAATTTAGAACTTAATCCAGTCAGTGGGCTTACAGAATTTTCATCATATAATAGCTCACTGAAAAGAATAATCTGTTTTAAATATTTTCCCACAACTCAAAAGTTAATACTAATAGTAAAATCAAAGTTAGCCTTAAACATACAGAAAATCTTAATAATAATAATCACAAAGAATTTATACAGAAAGACAGCATCAAATAATAATGTAACATTCAAAAAGACATAAAAAATTTATTAGCTTAAACATTACACATTAAAAGTAAAACTAGATTAAGTATTATATATAGTAGAAAATGGAAGAAAATTATCCAGAAGTACACAAAGTGCACATTAACATTTCTTACAAAAAAAAAAAAAAAAAAAAAAAAAAAAAGGAGAGAGAGAGAGAGAGAACTTAAAAGTATTCAAGTTATATACAGTATTTATATACAGTTTTTGGCTTTAAAAAAAAAAGAAAATATTAAATAGAAATATTTCTTAAAAGAAAGAAAGAAGAAATATTTCTTAAAAGAAAGAAAATTATCAGCAAGTATAAATAATATACAGATACACTTCTTTAAAAACTTGTCTCTAAGTACACAAGCTATAAAGAAGCATTTCTTAAAAAATCATCAAAATTCTCCTATAAGTGAATAACACCCACTGTACTTTCTTTTTATATACTAAATATCGAAAAAAATTGCTTCCAGCTCAAATATTTTCTCTGAGATTTTAAAATCACTGCACAATTAAAATCTGGCTATCGAAGCCATGCACAACTCTTCTGACTATTTAATGCTTATTTATTTTTAATCTAACTGCAGAAGTATGAAAAATATTAAACGTTTAATAGACTCTTACTATCACTAGGTAACAAATGGCAAAGTGAATAACGTTATAAGGTATTTCTCCCACTATCTTAGCATGCCTTCATGGTGTAGTGGTTCTGCACACTGGGCCGGTATTCTAGAGGTCCGTGGTTTGATTCCCGGTGAAAGCGATTGCTAATTTTTCATCTTGCTTGCTCTCTCAAAAAAAAAAAAAAAAAAAAACCTAACGTCTCTACAAGGTCATTAATAACAATAGCTTGTCCTCACTTTGATTCCTGGTGACTGAACAGGCTTTAAATTTTATAAAAACAGTTAACAAATAATGTCTTATCATAAGGGCCTGAGTAGATAAAGTCACTGAAAACTGATATCTGGTTTCAGGTTAATTTGCCAGAAACTGAACAAGTTGATTACATGGGGTTTTCATGTTTTTTTATTGCATGCAATATGAAAAACAGGAAATACCTTTACAAAGTCTTCCATGAAGGCATCACCTCTCATAAGATTCATCATAATACATAAACTAATTTAATATTTTACCAATATGATTATACGAAAGCTTAGTATTATAAGTAGCACACACAGCATACCATATAATTCAACATTTTCCCTTCCTTCCATAATTAGTTAAAACACATACTTTCAAGTATTCAAGTCACATACTTCTGGATTAAATTTAATACATACAGATAGTGTGGAATTCTAAAAAATTAAATCTTTTCTTATAATAAGTTTTGCTCACGTACTAAGTAATCAAAATGCTGGATTAAGATACGCTGCTATACTAAAAGAATGAAATACCATTCTAAGAATTCATCAAGTTTCTCTTCTAAGAAATTACTGCATTCTCCCAATGTTAGAAAAAGTGAAAATGTTAGACACCAAATAAGACTGGCCAACAAGGACACAACACTCAGAAATTTGTTATTCTTCCCTTAGCAGCAGTAAATGGAAATTTTGTTCACGTAATAATCGCAAAGAAAAATTACTGGCTGGACAATGACTCTGATACTCATAAATCCATTCTCACAGAAATAGGTGTTGCTCATGTTGTTTTCACTCAACATCTAATGTAAAGCAGATATGAGCATTGAAGACTGGTGGCTTGACTTAAGGAAATTTTCATTGCCCCCCCCCCATGTTTAACATAAATATGAGGTAGTTTCTTTCCAGAAAGTCCTCTAAAATGCCATCCCTTGCTTTAGGCAAAAAAAAAAAAAAAAAAAAAAAAAAAAAAAAAAAACTTTCATCTGCTTTGGTATTCAAACACAGGGAGAAATAGGAAGTTTTCATTACATCGTTCCTCAAAGAAAACAATCAATGTAGACCATTACTGACAAATAGTGCAAGAAACAACATAAATTTTAATACATAGAATTGCTCTTTTACACAATAGCATATGCCTTACAAAAGACTGGGTATATAGCCTATGGAATAGATACTGCACATACTCCAGATTTATGTTACAGACTTTCTTAAGCATTAATACAGTAGATAAAAGGCTCTCTAGAAATAATTTTTGCCCTTCAGATGATATCTTGACATCACATGCAAATATGCTTTTTCATCAGAAGATCAATGGTTTGGCAAAACAATAGCAAAAATATATAAATGCAGGGATAAGATTATTTGACCATACTGTCATATTAAAGAAGTCTGAATTTTTTTTTTTTCCCCAATGTTAAACCACTCACTCACTTTAAATCTGTCATTGACATATTCAATTCAGATTATTAACATCTCACCAGAATACAATGATAAGTAAATGAACCAAAAAATTTACACACACACACAAACACATGCAAATACATAGTGTGGCAATCAAATGATGTGAATGTACTCAAAAAACCAGAAACGTTATGAAATGTGCACTGATGTATATTGCTTGAAATGTTACTGCTCTGCATAAATACAAAAATACACCCAGGGGGAGGACTTATAAGGTATGGCTCAAACAGCAACATTACAGTTTTTTAGATCTCTTCAACGTCAAAAAGGAAAATGAAAAAAAAAAAAAACTTTCTTTCATAAAAATTTTAATTTGGGAAGAGAAAGCAATCACAAGAGGGCAATTCAAGAATAAGCATACAATTAAGAACACACACAAGTCAGAAATTGCTCTACAAACACTGATGCATATGAAAGTTTATGATTACACAATTAAAACAGATGATATAAATTTTCTTCTCAATGATGTAAAATACAGCATTATAAAATTACCGGCTGGATTCTCAACATTAAAAATTGTCAGTTTTGCTGGGTATACTTTTGTCAAATTCTGCAATTCTCAACAATCAACTTTAGAGTTACTTTTTTTAAAAACATTCCCATTATTTTTTGCTACACAGTGTACAATAATTGAATTAAAAATATCAGCAGTGATTAAAGTCAGCAATGAGTTGCTGACTCTCCTTGGGTGTGAATAACCAGAAAGTACCAAAACTTTTTTAAAGAAAGAATATGTTAATTTTATATACAGTTATTTTTTAAACATCTACAGACATGAAAAAGTACAAATTAAAACTAAAAAAAAAAATAATAATAATAATTTATCACTGCATTTACAGACCTTTTGACAACCCAACATCCTTGCACCAAAACAGCAATCTGCTGGATCAACCTCTCGACACTAACAGGATCTACATCAGGAGAAAGTTTCTCCAGTAATGTGGAAAATCTTAATACATGAGCTGCAAATGTTAAATTTTGTTAGCATTTTTAATTTATATACATTTCAGAACAGACAGATATAATATTTAATTATCATTCATTTATCACCTTTCAATCACTTAAAAGTTTTCCTACCATTTATCATGAGATGTTTAATTTGGTCAGAAAGAGGTTTATCTAAGAGAATTGCACTTTCTTCATCTCTCAAAGAATGATAGCCGGAACTGAAAAAAATTAAGCGTCATAATATTATGAAAATACCTTAAAAAAGAAACTAGCAATGTATTACAAACAAGCAGCAACTCAAAGTTTTTGCTCTTATAATACAGAGATTTAAATATTTTTTATCAAGCAACAATAATTTAACAATCATTTATCGATGCAAAGTTATTATTTAAATTCATTAAAATAATTTACTTTTAAATATAATTTATTTAATTATACAATATTTATAATTTACTTATTTCATATTATATTTAAAATAGTTCAGCATTTAAAAACTTGAAAATTTATTTACTCAGAAAAGATTTAAGAGTTATTTAAAATATATGTTGCATTTGTATGTTTCATATACATAAATTAGCATGTATATTGTTTAATACATATAACTTACTAACTGAACTTTGATATTTGAGGGTGACTCGCGAAATTTTAAAATTTGTGTTACTAACTTATATACGTATAGGTACCGCTCTGGTACCTCCTAAACAACTCTGTTTTGTGAAAATTTAAATAGCTATTTTCAATCAAAAAGAAATTATTATAGCACAACTTTCTCTGAGCAAAATGGATATTAAATTATTAATAAATTAAAAAGTTACTTTTGGATTATTGATTTAACTTGAGAGTTATAATTCTCTTACTTTTTTTCCCCTTTTTCTTCTAGCAATAATTGGAAGGAAGGCAACTAGTCCATACTATGTAATCAAATTAACACATTTTAAAATAATTTAAACCTATTTTCTCTACAGCAGATTCACTTATTTTACTTTACATAAAAATTGTGTTAATTCATAATAGGCATCAATCTATAATTAATAATATATAAAAGCAATACAATTAGAATGCATGTTATAGTTTAACATTTAATTATTAATCAAATCAAAAAATTAAATTTTTTAATAATCAATTTCAAGAAAATCAGCAAAGCTTAAGAGCATCTTCTGAAATATAACTATGTTATACACTGTAACACTTTTATGCATAAACAGCATTTTTTTCTTTTTTTCGATATTGAATGGAAATATTTCAGCTATTTTTTAAATTTATTTTTCCTTTTTAAAAATAATCAAATTAGGATTTGTAATACCGGTACACAGCTTTTTAAACAAAGATATAATAAATGAATATATACAAATTTATTTTCATAATGTGTTTCACTTTCTTGCAGTTAATTGATAACAATCAAATCAATATTTCTTAATCAAAACTTCTTCTATGTAAAATCTTCTTAAGAATAAAATAAAGTTATCTGAATGCTATAAGGCTGTCTATAAAACATCTAAAACAACAGTCTTTGATGTCTAAAAGCAGTTATTCAGTAGGGTCAAACGAAAAAACTTTTTTCTTTTAAAAAAAAATTCATATTGCCCAAGTTATTATATGGTTTCAAATGAGCTAGAACGAATTGTGTTCAAATCTCAGCCCAAAATACTGACATCCTGAGGTTCCAGACATCAAATGAATATCTGTACTGACTTTTTTAACAGTTACGCTTTTTTCATGAACTGCTTTGTCAAAAACCCCATTATTAGCACAAGAAATTGCTTTCCACATTCAATGTCAAATTTAATGCCAAAATATGCTACTAGATGGCAGAACTGGCTCTAATCTGACTATTGGTTCTAGCTTAGGTAAGCAGTCACATGGCTTCCATAATTTTTCAAGGACATTTTATTGTTAATTAGTTGGTTGTTCGGTGAGTTTTGTCAATCTTGCTTTATCAGTCATTGCTTATGTTGGACTAAAACGACGTCAACTAAAAGTACATCTTTTTTTGTAATGTTTTGGGAACTCCAGTACAACTTAAAGAGACAGTTTTACCCACGTATGCTGATGTAACAAAGCATTTCCTTTGGGTAATTAATGTGGCAAGGGAACAAGAAAGACCCACTGGTCAAAGACATCAAAGAAATTGTTTCCTGTGACATTTCAAGAATTTGGAAGAAATGCTCCATACCTCAGGTAAATTAACGAGAAAGTATTTATTATTATTATAAGAAATTACAATGAAAAGTACAAAAACATAAAATAAATACCAAAATCTTAGAAGAGGGATAATAAAATTGAGAAAGATTTCTTGGATCATGGAAACAGTACTCTGATATTTCTGCATGTAAATGTTTGAATTGTGAATAATGTAAATGCTAAATGAAGATTCCAAGCATAAAACAAAATTTCTTAACAGACCAACAGCATGAAAGAAAAATATCCATTGGGTTGATTGGCGTTTCTGAAAGCTGAAAATTGTAATGTATAAGAGAAAGACAACAAAGAAGAAAAATCAGGAATCTAAAGCAAGAGCATATACAGACAATGCGTGTTTGATGATTACAAATTTAGAAGCGAATACCATTTTATTGAAGATACAATAGCATGTCAAACAAATATTAATTTAGAAGTCAAATAACAAAAATCAGCATTATATTTTCAAATTTTCACAGGACTAGTTTCGATGGTTTAGTACAGAAGCATCATTGGTAACATCTAGTGCAAAAGACAAGGATTGATTCATATGCAGTCGAATCAAGTGCTGGAATGAAGTTATGAAGTTTGACAAGATGAATTTCTTCGGTTTCCTTGTGTAACCTGAAGATAACAAGTAATTAAACTGAAACCTTTTTACTGGCATTTTTTACCAATTACAACCATATGTTGGATCAGGAAACAAAAATGTTGTAAAAAAATCATTAAAAAAATATTGTTAAAAATTGTTTGATATTTTCATTACCATTTTTTTTATTTAGTACCTCATGTGGAACCTGAAGATGATCAGCGATTCAGCTGCAATTTTTTACTGTTTCCCCCCCTCTATTGAACATTCTTGTTCAGAGAATAAAATTTGGGAAAAAAAAAAAAAAAAAGGCTTTTTCACTTCACCCTATTGTTTAGTAGTTATTCTAAAAAACAGAAGGGTGCTATTTTCGCAACAGATTATTAAAATTTCTACACTGTAGTACTTAATATTTTTTATTTTCAAATCTTTTTATGTTCATTTAACTTATTAACAATATTGAGTATGGTGTTTACTACATGTCCTGCTCTAGGAAGGAAGAGTAACTCATCCCTATGATTTCAGCTGGTCTATTTACCAAACAATGCAAAGTATAAAACTAATATAAAACTGTAAAAATACATATATTAATTTAGAGTTTTTTTACTTTTTTTCAAATACATGGTACTCTTGCCATACATTTTTAGCTAAAACAAAATTAGTATATCCACATAATCATATGCTCATAACAAACTATGATTTTTTTAAAAAAAAGTGTTTGATATCAAAACTGTTCAAAATTAATGTCCCACCAATTTATACTTTCCTAATATGGAACATTTTAAAGAAACTACACATTTAATATCTTAACTAAAAAAAAAAAAAAAAAAAAAAAAAAAATACATAAGCATTTGTTTAAAAGGTGAAATTCAAATTCTATAATTGACTTTTCTTTATTCATTTTATTATTTCAAAATATAAAATGTATGAAATCAAAATTATCTCATACATAAAAATGTCATCAGAAATAGAAAGGCCAATGTATTTTCTTGGGGAAGGGAATAACTTCTTCTATTATAGATACACAATAATTATATACAAAGAGATATATAGACTGGTTGATAGATAGAGAGGTAGATAATATTTATATGATGCAAAAACTGTACAACTTGAACTACCAAGAAGATAAAATACTAACAAGATTTTCAAGTTACATATATATTCAACTGAAAATTCTATTTATATTTTTTAAATGCACATTACTTACAGACGTAAACATTCAGGAACAAGGTCCTTCAAATAGTCTTCAGGTGAGACACAATTCACAGTAACCTTTTTGCTCATTTCAGAGCATGAAAGTAATTCAAATTCTGATTTTGAAAGTGTAGACTAAAAAAAAAAAAAAATTTAAAAAGTAATTCAAATTTTGATTTTGATAGTGTAGACTAATAATAATAATAATAATTATAAACTACAAATATTTCCTTGAAAAAATTTAACATTGTTATTTTTAGTTCACATATACCCCTAATGGATGGTATGCAACATCTATCCAAGGTTCAGTAGCACTTTTCTGTTGTAGGTATTTATATGACTTCTGCTGTATCTGACGATCTCTTTCAGCATTTGGACCTTCAAAACGTACAGTGACAGGTACAGCTTCTTCTTCTTCCTCTTCTTCTTCTATTTATGAAAAGAAAATGCCAAATACAGTATGTGCCGCTAAATATGATCATGTTTGTCCTCGGCTATTTTGATAACATTAAACAACAAGGAAAAATATACCTCAAAACAGCAGTGGAATTTAACTAATTTAATACAAAAATATCAAGAAACACATAAATAGGTATTTTAATTCAAAAAATGCAAAAAGGCATCCTTCAGTGAAAGAGAACATACAATGTAAAATTTTAAACCAAGCAAAAAAGCAACCTTAGTTTATTGCAGATGTTATCTGAAAAAAATTTTTTCAAGGAAAAAGCAAAATACATATATATATATATATATATGTTGCATGATCTTAAATTCATTTAGTGTGAAAACAAGTTACTACTACTTACTTACGCAATTGCTGCATAGTTAATAATAATTTATTTCCTAAACAATATTGATTAATTGATTATATTATCTCCTAAGTTTAATTAAAGTAGAATTATTTAAAAAGAGTGAATCCATACTGGTAAGTTATATTTTGAAGATGTTTTGAAATAACTTGAAAGTAAAATGTTAATAATGTTTTAACAGGGACTGGAATTAAATCATCATGAAGAACAAAATTTCAATTGTAAAAGGAAAAATTAAAAACATGTAATCATTGTCATTGATCGGAAATTAGTTGACTTTTCAAGGGGAACAAACCAACTCCCGTTCAATGAACAATAATTAATAAAAATACGTAAATACGAAGGTGTTTCGTCTTTACTCGAGTTATAAGGTAAAGCCAAATCGGCAATTCTAGTCAGGCCAAATATTTCTGCGAATAGAAGGGATTACGAACCAATGCTGATACTCAAAGAACTCATTCTTATGAAACATTTCAGCCAATTCAATTTGGAGTAAAAAGCAGTTTCTCTAGAGAAATCCGAAAAAACTCGAGTAACCGTCCCCAACACCCTAATGTTTATGCATTTAAGTTCTATATTATTTGTAAAAATTAAACATTGGAAATAGTCATTATGAAATAGAGTTCAAAGTAAAGTTGAAATAAACATAGAAGATTACAAAATAAGATAATATAATGATTGTAAAAACAAATCAAAAAATAATATAAAAAATATAATAAGAACAGTGAATGTACATGAAGATATTAAGGCCAGAAAGGTATTAAGTAACTTACATCTTTCTAGTGGGAGTTGGCAAAGTGTTCTCTTCGTGTCTGACTCATAAGTGTAGGGTGTCCGAAAATTCTTAGCGGCAGTGGGGGCTTTGAATAATATCAGTCGGTAAGACTTGAGTGAAGTAATTTATGGTAGTGGGTGGGACTCAGAATTCTTGAGGGATGTATTATGTGGAGAACTACCAGTGTTCTGACTTTACCGCTCAGCTACTGGCGCGCCTTCTCAAAATAAATAATTATTCAAAATCTACATCAAACTAAAGTGTCATTTAGCAATTTTTATAATATATTTTGACCTCATTTGACAAATTTATCTTTTATTTAGTGAATTTAGCTTAAAAAAATTACCTTATAATAATTTGATCCTATTAACTAAACTGCTGATCACATTAAATGTTGTATTTTCAATGTTTTTCAAACAGGCTGGAATTCGGCAAATGAATAAAAATATTGAATGATAACAATCATTGCAATTACATTAACCCTTTAAGCGGCAAGGCCATATATACACGACCTTGTGATATCTGTAAGAACATATATATACTTGCATATAATTATATGTTAATGAAATTAAGGCAATATATCAAAAGCACATAAATCCAAGTATGAAATACCAGGAGAGTTTTTACATTAAAATCAAAAAAATTATTTGTTCTTACAGTACATTTGGGAAATTTGTGCTTTCTTAGTGAAAACCCTGGCTGCTCGGAGGGTTAAGCAGCATCCGTGCATAATCTAAATTATACCATTTTTAAAAGCTGCATTAAGAAAAATTTAGGTATTTGCTATTATAGGACAAAACACACCAAATAAATTTTTCCAGAGAAAATATATCTGACAACTTTATACTTCCAGCAAGATGACTGTAGTAAAATGCCTCTAAACTTAAGTGATCATATCTCTTGGGTTAGTTATTTCAAGAAACAACAAAACTAACCCAAGAGATATGATCACTTAAGTAGCACACTTGAGTAGCACAGTTTAAAAGTGTTTTACTGGCAGTACTTAACTTGAAAACAAGTACGTGTCATAAGAGATAGGAACAGAGCATTTACATAGCTGCCAACCTTAAAATATTAAAAAGTTGAAGATTTCTGTGAAAAAAAGAGGAAGAAACTGGGAGGTTTTCACGCTGTGCAGCAACACCATACTGAAAAACTCCAGACTGACTTTAATTCACTTTATAATGCATTGGTCAGGTCACTGAAGTATTTATAATTCAATTCTGATGCAAAATATATTAGCATATAATTGGGATATTCTAAATTTTGTGTTCTTTAATTTCTTAATTTAATTACATTTTTATGTGGAATATATATTGAGTAATGAAAGAAAGCTTTTGTTTATCAAAGTACTTCTAAATATGATGAAAATAAAATTGATAATTAATGTGTAAGAGTATGTACGTGTACAAACTTGATAATGTACATTATATTGAAGTAATTTAAGCAAACAAAATTACATGCAACTATTAATTTATTAAACATTGCTTCGATCTTCATATAAAAATCTACAAATGTCTACAGTAAATTACAAAAACTCAGTTTAAGTGAAATTTAATATGACAAAGATTAATAAAATGTAATAATTAAAATGAAGTAGAATTTAACAAGAAAATTTATTCTGAAAATCATCAATCAGCGGCCAATAGGCAATATTGGTTCATATAATCTTTCAGTAGAAAATTGTTTATGCATGTTGTCCTATAATAGAAAAGATGCCAAAACTCAATTTCAGGTAAATACTGGGAGTAAAAATAAGTCTCTGCTGTTTGACAAAAAAATGGCACCGCCAGTAAGTTATGGTTAAAATTGTCTGATGTAAAATGACATGTAGTAAGGTTGGTAAAAGAAATCATGTAGTGTATAATGGTGGGATCAACTTGGTGTCATGAAATATGAGCTGCTCAAACCGAACGAAACCATTACTGCTAACTACATACCCTTGAAATATTAATGATTTTGTATCAGCATCATACATTTTTTCATGAGAAAATTTTGAGTTTTGAGCCGAATGAATGTCATTTGCAAGAATTTATTTATTTCTTTAATTTGAAGAAATCTGCAGCTGATGCACATTGATTGCTTGTAGAAGCATATGCTGAGCCTGCCTTAAGTGAGAGAAGTTGTTGTGAGTGGTTTCAAAAGTGTAAGAATGGTGAATCTGATGACACAGACAAAGAACATAGGAGACATGAAAGTATATAAAGATGAGGAATTAGAAGCATTATTAGATGAAACTTTGCACCAAAAGCAAGTAGAACTTGTACTTACATTATGATTGATTCAACAAGCAATTTCACATCATTTAAAATCATTGGGAATGATTCAAAAGCAAGGAAATTGGGTTCCATATGAACTGAAGCTGAGAAGCATTGATGCCGATTTTTTACACGTGAAATACTGTTTGCCAGGCAGAAACAAAAAATGTTTTCACATCGTATAGTCACTGCAGATGAAAAATGGATCCACTATGATAATCCGAAGAAGAAATCCTGGGGACCACTTGGCCATGCCTCAACATCAACAGCCAAGACAAATATTCATGGAAAAGAAATCATGTAGGGTATATGGTGGGATCAACTTGGTGTCATGAAATAAGAGCTGCTCAAACCGAACAAAACCATTACTGGGGCTCTCTACCAAACACAACTGATGAGACTGAGCTGAGCACCAAAGAAAAATACGTCCACTTTTACTCCAGACATCCCAAAATTATTCTCCTACATGATAATGCTCGTTCACCTGCTGCGGCATCAGTAAAAACCTATTCGGAAATATTCAACTGAGAAGTTTTCTCCCTCGGCTGCATTCACCAAACATTGCTCCTTCAGATTTTTTTCAATTGATGATGTCTGAGCAGTGCTTCACATCATATGAAAATACCAAAAATTGGGTTGCTTTGTAGATAGCCTCGAAAGATGAAGCATTCTTTTGACACGTTATTCATATGCTGTCAGAAAGATGGGAAAAAATAGTGGCTAGATATGGACGATATTTCGAATAAAATATAATGTACCATTCTTTCCCAATAAATTCTCAATTTTTGATTTAAAAAAAAAGGCAGAGGCTCCTGATATTACTGACTACTTCATACTCCTGATATTATTGAATACACCTACATACTTCAGTTATTTGAAACATACTGTGTATCAGGGATTCCTGGCTGAAAATAATATGCCCTTTAGAGGCACATCTGATATTGTAGGAGCTATAAGAACAATATTTATAAATTTGGAACAACAGATATATATTTACACTTTGACAATTTTATTTGTAGTGTTAATTACAAACATGGCTGACAAAGAGAAGAATGAGAGAAAAAAATTATAAAGCACTTGAATTTAGAATATCATTTTTAGATTCTTTCTGATAATTTGCCTGCTCTCTTGAAAAGTATTCCTGTGGCAGTGAATTATGTCATCAAAATAAACAACCCATAATGTCACCCAAATGTCTCTATAAAGCAGCAACCCAGCTATGTGAACACATGGCAGATGAATGTAGACTTCCACCTTCAAATTCGACATCATTTTTCAGAGTGGTGTTTATTTCTGCATTGACTACACTTTTTTTTTTTTTTCTTCTAAGGAATTACAATGGAATTGTTAAGTCTGCCGCCTGATGAAAAAGGAAGCACTGCATTTCTTCAAAAATATGATATTTTGTCTAACAGTAGATAGCACAAAAAACAGCATTATGTAAAGGATGGAAAGGGAAAATATCCAAATTAAATTAGAGTGTTAGGATACTATTGCAAATAAAAGTTAGTATTTTGACTTACATATTTTTTATGTTACATATGTATGCATATGAAATTTAAGCTCATCTTAAGACTTGCATTAATATTGTTAAAATATAACTAATTTTTAATTGCCTGTTTTATACTGAAATAACTATTTTAAATTAGCAACAAAAATTTTGACACCTTAATAATAACATCCATTAATTTTTCAAACACCACATAAAAATTCATTTTAATTAAATCATTTTCAGAATAGAATTTATTAAAGATTAAGAACAACTTTCACAGCATATAAACTGTATCTTTCAGAAAGAAGGCATGAATCAGTGCAATCATAATTCTACCTAAATTTTCGAAATGATTTTACTAATACTACTAGAATATTAAAAGATTAGCACCACGGATTCAAAGATGAATACTATTATTATGCTCAATGTATTAACCACCATTTTTTGTAAAATAGTATATTCATTTAGTGCAGCATCACTAAAAGAGTGGTATAATTCAAGTCTGTCATTAACTGTAATTTAAATCAGACAATGAAATGAGATTAAAACTATGTAATCACAAAAAATTTACCAAGAAAATTATCTGAGCATTATTACAAGTCAAATATACTATTTGTGATCGATGAATTACACAAATAATTCTAAAAAATTCACCATTTCATATATAAATTGATAAATAAAATGGCTAACTTACCATTGCCCTTCTTTGCTTGAGCCTCCATTTTATCCATATAAGTAAAACTAGGTCGAAATTCCACAACAGAATGCAAAGGAGTTATATGTAGTTCACCTAGATAAAAACACTAAACACCATAAATAGTATGTAGTAAGTTACATTTTATTTCATTTCATAGTAAAATACATTCCTTAATCTAGGGAGATGCATTCAGCATCATATGCTAAAGGCATTTTGATCCACTTAATTGATAATTTAATGGCCAATTAAAATAATCAAGAACCACATTATAAAAAGTAGCTGATGTCACACTTATAGATTTTAAAAATAATTTTTTTAGACTTCAACACTAAGAGTATAAACCTTTCCAGTCAATTATAATTTTATTCAGATGTCAGATATCAATTATTACAGTCAAACTTACAAAATGCCAAAAATAGTAACTTTTCTTTTTCAAAACTCCCTCCCCCCTTTTTTTAAAAAAATGTTTACCATCATTGTCCAGATTAACTCTGGCTCTAACACTAATTCCCAGTTTTTCCTTAATTATTTAGCAGAAACACTTATTAATTATCACCATTCTGTATGTGTTAAACCTTTGTCATTTCAACACCCTATGGAATTCTAAAAGCAGTTATTTTTGCTTATCATGGAAGTAAATAAATATCTCAGTGTGACACTGAATTTGGCTTCTTTTACCTCTTTAAAAATATAAGTGCAAATTACCTTTGATAATTCTTGGCTCTTGATATAATAATGTACCTGCAGTTGCAGAACTTGAGTTACATAATAAAACACGTTGTTTCATTGTTTCATAATAAAACACGAATTGTTATTTATATGATTTCATGCAAATAAATGTAGTTACATATTTCAAACCAACACTGATTTGGAAAATTAAATATACTTTTGCATCTTTGCTTATATAGGAAACATCTTCTGCTTGTATAGAACAAAAATAAATGTAAACATGAAAATCAAGGATTTTATCAAGAACATGTAAAACTAGTACAGAATTTGTCAAATTAATGCAACATAAAAATACAGAACATGATGTGATAGTTAAAATTTCATGCTCATTATTAACATTAATGGAACAGCTGAGAAATACTAAATAATTTCTAAATATTCTTTATTTCACACATATACGGAAGCATGAAAACATCTCCATTACTGTTAGCAATATATCAAAGAGCAGAAAAGCATTACTATATTGTTTACATTTAAATTCAAGCCATAATGAAAAATCTTGAAACAGTCAAGTTTCAACAATAAAAACAAACACTATGGAAACATGGTCCATAAAATTGCTAAGAAGTGTTTCATAGAAACCGCATTAAGATAACACTCCTCATATATATTTTACAGCATTTTAAATTCTCCTTTTCGTGGCTGTAAGCATTTGGCTGATTTATAAAACTGCAGCTAGTGAAGTAAATATAGCCTTGGCCAAAAATATTAGACATCCCACATTTTAAAGATGCCTTTGAAAATATTAGTCGGATACAAAAATGTTTATTTTTACACAATTGTTAACTTCTTTTTAAAGTTATTAAAATTTATTAAAAAAAATAAAAGCAAACAAACAAGTCAACTTTTAATTCATTGTTATTGTTTCCTGGGTATTTGTTTTTTGTTTTAATAGAAGTTCTGGAATTGTGTTGTACTAGTTAGGCGATAATTTTGAAACTAAAGCAATTTGATATTAGAAAAGGCAAAGAGAAAAATATTTGTGTGGCATGGATGCACTCAACTGATGTTTATTAATGTTCAAAAATGTTTTTACCTAAAACATTGTGTCCAGTGAAGCTTCTGGTTAATTTTATTATCTGATTTATTTTGGTAACTTTACTGCTCATGTTATGAAACATAAATTTGTTGGTTTTAATTTGTTTTAAATTTTATTTAATATTATTTATTTATTGTATAAAATTAATTTAATCTTATTGCTGAGTCTCAAAATGAATATACAATTTTTTTTTTTTTTTTTTAAGTTGAATTCATTCTCTACTCTTTAATTCTCCTATTCTCATTCCTATGTCGAGTTTTAAGCATTCGCTTTACCTGATTTGTTAAGAGAATCGAAGGTTACTAGTTCTTACAGAAAATGGCGAGATAAAGAAAGACAACACTGTCAAATTGTCAAATCTAGTTTTGAAAAATCTCCAGATGAGACAGCCCCAAAATTTTAAATTTTAATATACTTTAAACGCGTTGGATGTTCTGCATTCATGTATTTAACAACAATAAACAAACCTTTAGCATAAATATCAAAGAAATTTGTAAAAACAAATTTTAAATTCTACAAGAGTTATTGGGAACTATCAATATCAAAAATTTCAATTGTAATTCAACTGTGTTTTTAAAAAAATCTTTTTTAAGGTACTAATAAAATGTAATCCTAATGTTTTTAACATCACTACTAAAAATATTAGAACTTTTTAACAAATATTAGAGAATTTAAGGCACTCATTTGCATTAAATTTGTTTTGCTTAGTATTTTGTTACATTAGTAAATATCAAAACCATGGCAAGATTATGGCCATGTTCAAATGACTCACATATACATCGTGGCTGCAATAACTCCACAATTGCTTTTAATATGCATCAAAAGGCTTATCTTTTTCAATGGATTTCCACCACATGAATTTAGAATGATATTACTCTGGATCATTGGTTTACAACAAGGGTGGTACTGCCCATGATGCTGAGGGGTGGTGAACTTGTTTTAGGTGGTAGGGGGGTAGGTATGTTCTGGGCAGTAGGGAGCATGTTTTAGCATTCGAACATAATTTTAAAACTCACACAAAATTTATTAAATCACTTATCCAATTTACACCATTTGTACCAGCAATAAAACAAACTTAGGCGACTGCTCATGCTGAGGAGAATTTATATTCTAGGGAGGATAACATTGAAGAACTTGACGCAATGTTTTTTCTGCGATCCCAACCAGCACAGCACATGTATCAGCTATTTCCACATGCCATTAATCACAGCATATTCATTCAGCGTCCTTTCAATGTTGCTTTCAATTAGCGTTGGATTTGACTATTGTTTCTTGTGCTGCTTTTCATTCACTTCATTTCTGGTATTGTCCCTCAGTTTTGACTTACTTTCATTGTTTATTTGGGCAGCTACCTAGGTAATTGCACTTACTAGTTCTTTATCGTGATCATGAATTATTAATTTTGAGAAACAGTTATCCTTCCCTCATCACATTTTGTCACCAATACAGTTCCACGTATTTGAAGTTTGGATTCATTCCTTTGCCATTCACAAAATTCAATGGAATTAATTTGCAGTTTAAAGATGAAGAGCTCAATTTAGTCACAACAAAATCTGTTATTTCTGCCTTCCTAAAAAATCTCACTTAGTGGAAGCAGAATTTTGGTAGAATGAACCAAAATTCAGCCTGTTCCCGATCTGGTCGGATCTACACAAGAGCAGTGAAATCCCATTCCATGAAACACAAACTTATTGTCAACACCTTGAGTCTTTGCACAAAGACTTGAGTGTTTTGAGGATATCTTGTTCCTGAAAGTCCCTCAATGGATCATGAACCCTTTTATGAATATTGAGAAAGCAGAATTTCAGTTTCAGAAAGAACTAGTCAAACTTAAAACTAATGAAACTTTGAAAGCCAGTTTCCAATATGGTGATTGTCTCACGGAATTTTGGCTTCAAAAGTAGCATCAGTCACCTGTACACAGGACTGTGGACTAGCGACAAAATATTTTTAATTGCCTTCCCTTCTTCCTATCTTATCGAGCGACGATTCAATGCTGTGGCCGACGTAATTACAAAAAAGAGAAGTCAACTCCAAATCGTGAAAAAAGGGGACTTGCACTTCATCTCCCTAAAAATATTGAACTGAATGTTGAGAAACTGGCTCTGAAACATCAAGCACAAACATCCCACTGATCAAACTCGATTTTTTCATTGATATTACTCGTATTGTTTATTTTTTTATTACTTTATACAAAATAAAAAATTTTTAAACATGAAAGAGCATTTAAGAATTAATTTTTGGTATTAGTCATTTCAGTTTTAAACCTCTGACTGCTCAATTTGTGGACTGAAATAGCTTCCAATTTTTTTTTTTTTCATATTTTAAATCTATCTCTCTATATATAGGAGAGCTGAAAAATGCACTTTTACTTTCTATATTTTTTATATAGATTTATATCATGAGAAACTAAGTTGCCAGAAAAACCAAGCTCAGATATCACCAAAAAAAACCTTTTTTTAAATAAATTTCAGTCAAATTACAGTTAATTTCTATTTATTGTATAATATAAAAACGTAAAATGTATAAAATTTAAGAAAATATAAAGCGCTGAAAGCAAAATACCTCAGAAATGCAGTTTAGTAGAGTTGAAAACACGGTTCAAGGCAAAGTCCAACTTCACAGTTTTTGCACCAGATTCAATAAATCTAATTAATAATCAATCTAATTATTAATCTAATTAATAATTCAATAATTTAATTAAATAATCAAGATAATCGCTGAACGTTTTCTAGCAGCCATTTCTGTAAGAAAAAAGCGGCAAAAAGTGACGTTTGAGCACTAATACCACGTGCCTTCAAAATGCCACAATTTAGTGGACAACTAATGATATCTGTTGGCCAAAGCGCAAACTAAATGCCTAATACTGTATATAATTTATTTCAATGGTTAAACGGGAAAAAAATGGGATGCGCTCTTCAATAAAGGAAGAAAAACATATGCCCGTGGTAATCGTGGGATAAGCAAATTTTGCTACATTTGAGTTGCCCATGGAAATTGCAGGATGATCAGCCAGAGGGTTACTTTCCACAGCAAAAGTATCGAGATAACAAATTTGGTGTGCAAGTTTATTGAAAAAAAAATTGCTTAAAATTTTTGCCTTTTATAATTTAGGAACCCTTTCTTTCCCATACCCTAAAGTACAGGATATTCAATAGTAGATAGTGTTGAAAAATTATTCACTCCTTAGGGGACAGCAGCTTTAAAAAGGTTGAGAAACACTGCTCTAGATGATGTTTGAACTGTTACCTTTTTGCTTTTTGTTCAGCCATTTAACTGAGCCCCACAATTTTTCCACATTTGGGGTATGAGCTCCCGTTGTTGGATAAATAAAATTAAACATGTGATTTACAGTTAAATGGCTGGAACCAGGCTTTTCAAGCTCATCTGTTTTATAGGCTCACCAACAATCTGACTATACTGTCAATCTTTCTACAAGTGGTCTACAATCGTTGATATAAGAATGCTTGTTTCCCAATATGAAACCTGAAAATATTAAACATTCTCACATCTTAAAGAAGAAGAAAGTACTCACCACTTTCACAGCATAGTCCACTAAATATCCACTGCTGTGAAGTACCCTACCAGTGTTGTTTTTCATCACATGAACAAACTTTTGTGAATTTCGACTATCTTCCCAGGGCATCTATACATCCTTTAGGTTGTGAAAGTAAATTTAGAAAACAAACCTCGCTCATAAATTTATTCCAATCAACTGTGGTATTTTGACACATGTTGAGCTGTTTATTGCTCCACTTAAACAATGTTAGTTCCTCTGCACAACTGTAGCTGAAATGCAGTGCAGTTAGCAATGATATTCTGGAACAACTAAACTAGCTGTCAACTTTACATTTTGCACATCCACATACTTTCATTTCATTTTGCAGCCATTTACAGATATTCCGTTGTGAGGTAATACATCTTTTTCCTGGAAAAATGAAATGGCATCTTCCTCACTCGTCAGTAAATTAAAAATTGTCAACACCTTTTTACAATGTTTGCACTAAAAAGGACTATAACAGTATCAGGTGGTTCATCAAACAGAAGTCAAATGTAAAAGTAAAACTTTTTTTTACATAGATTAGAAGTTTATCATGGGGGCCGAGAAAATCAAGTAGTATCAAGACATTATTTCTACTTTGCATCATAATTACAATAAATAAAATTAAAATTATTTAAAGAAAGATATTAAATTTAACATAATCTAACCTTTTCTGAGGTAGCCAACTGCATAGCTTTCTATAGCAGAACCAGCTTTGGTTGCAGAAAGAGTATATTTATCCATAAGAGAGCTGTTAATGAAAATCTAATTTGAAATTACAAAAAACAAAGCAATGGAAAAAAAAATAACAAGCACACGCAGAAAAATTAAAAAATTCAGCAAAACACAGATTAAAAATCTGATGTGAAAATCACATGACACTTGCATGAAGTATTTATTAAATTACATGCATTTTTTGCTGCACTTCACTTAAGCCTTTTTCCTCGAATTATTCTGACTTAATTAATCTGACTTAAAGATTGCAAATTTTTTTAATTACATATCCTGGTAAATTTTTGTCACACTCATTTCTTGAACATTTTACGATATTAGAAACTCAAATTTAAATAATTATTTTGAATAAAGTAAAGAACATTATTTTTTCAGGGAAAATTATGAAATCATAATCTGATTAATTCTTATCTTTTTAATTATTTTTAAAATGTTAAGAATTTTAAAATTATTTGAGAAAGAAGTGAATATAAAAAATAAGGGAAAATAATTTTGAATACTAGGACAGAAAATGGATATAATAATTGTTGTTGGATTGTAGATATATTTAATATTTTGGATTGTTATAATGGATATAGATATGACAAATTTAAAAATATTGATTTGAGGAACGTTCCAAAAAAGTAGTTTAGTGTTAAAATTTTATAATATTGTTATGAGGAATGTTCAGATATAGTTCCCTTTTCCCTCTTCATACAAGATATGATGCTCTCATTTTATGATTAAGAAATTTTAAAATTTTTTATTGAATATATTAGTGCAGTTTCAAAGGCCATTACCTTGTACAAGGAAGGTTTTTGTTCAAGTAACGCCAAGCAACCCTTGGCCAATGGTGCAGAACATACCAATTTGAAATGATGACAGAATGTTATTTGAATAATGTTAAAATAGGAACTCAAAATGAAAAAAATAGATACAATTCAGCAAAAAAATTAAATTAAAAATGTTAAATACAAAGTATGTTGAGGAAGTACTGGTTCAGAAATAGAGACCTACTGTTCCCTTTTCCCTCTTCATACAAGATAATGTTGAATGCTCTCATTTTATGATTAAGAGCAATTTTTTTATATATCATTATATTTTTATTGGAATATATTAGTGCAGTTCTCAAAGGCCAGTTACCTTGTACAAGGAGTAAAGGTTTTTGTTCAAGTAACTGCCATAGCAACCCTTGGCCAATGGTGCAGAACATACCAATTGGTTCAAGTAGATATGATGACAGAAATGTTTATTTTGAAGTACTGCAGGGCTTTCCAGTTTAGTAAAATAAGGAACTCAAAATGAAAAATAATAGCATACAATTTCAGCAATACTAAAACTATATTTATCATGTTAAAAAGTACATTTTTAAACATGGGAATTAGTTACGTTATAAAATTTTGAAATTTGTTGTGATTATTTAAACTAAGTAATGGTTTTCAAAATTTTCATATTTGTGATATTGTGTGAAAGGTTTAGAAATGCCTTTACTGAATAAATATGACTATGTGCCTCTAAAAAAATGACTTTTGGACTTGAAAATTTAACACAGCTCTAAAATCTTAATCAGCTCTTTTTCAATCACTTAAATAATTATATTGGTCAAAATTTTATTATTTGTACTTTCCAAGATTATATTTCTCTTCATCTACTACTTACTGTTTTAATGCTTTTCCTTTAAAAATGCTTCTCTATCATCAAGCCATTTTCTCTTTTAACAGGAAGGGAATACGAAAGATAAAAAATATGAAAATATAAATTGTAATTTAAATTATCAATATCCCATTAATGCCTAATTTTAATTTTTCCCCTTCTCTATTCTAAAAAAGTAATCATTTTTAATGAATGATGCTATTTTAAGACTAATCCACATCATACGACTCTTACATAATGCTGGTGATATAAATGGAACTAAAACTCTGCCAATAATAATTTCATAGTATTTATTATTAGCTATCTAATCAAGTGCACTGATACCAAAACTAACTCATTCTGAATTACGATTTCATTGTGAACAGAACCAACATCCTTAACAGGAATTTGTTTAAGTCAAACACTCTGTTAACCCATTAGCGGCTGGTGTTGCGTTGATGCAACGGTCAAAATAAATGCTTATATAAATATAACTACCAGCAGATGATTTTGTGTAGGGAATATTATGAAGATTATTTCTGTAAAAAAATATTTGCCTTCAACAATCATTTTGTTTATAATAATTAATCTCATACTTTAAGCAAAATTTTCGACCGGGTATTTTTGCTGAAAATATTTAACGAAAGAATCGCAGTCTTTATGAGTGATTTATTTTTATTCAAGGTCACCATTTACCAAAACATTACGTCAATCAGATGTTTTTATTTGTGTTGGGAAGGAAGAGAAAACAGGTGTTGTGCTGATGCAACGTTAGCAGGAAACAGGTAATTTATCTCCTTTTTTAGTCATTCCTTTTGATGCTCTGGTTCATGTTTTGGTTGCTTTAAAAATGCCTAGAAGGAGGTATCTTTCATTAGAAGAAGCACTTCAAAGATTTTTTGATGATGAAACAGATGATGATAATGTTAATAATGACCAGAATGAAACTGATATTGTTGTTTCCCTAGAAGTTGCAGAAGCTAGTGATGGAGAAGAAGGAATGACAATGTTTTAAATAATAATAGTGATATTTTACCAAAAGTTGAAATTCACGTAAGAAGTAAGTTTCAGCCTTCTAAAAGCAGTTGTAGTCATACTAAAAAATTTAAAAAGCAGAAGACTGAAAACTTGAAGTGGATATAAAAGGAACGATCAGTTATGTCTCAGGAAGAACATGAAGAAAGAGATAGAAGAGACTATAAAAGACAAAATACAAGGTAAAACTAATGGACAGATTTTTTATTTTCTTTTTGGTTTAGACATTTACTCTCTTCTCGTTGAACAGACAAATATATATGCTCAGCAAAAAATTTGCCCAGAATTTATTGCATCTGAAGCCTATATGCGAAGATTTATTGGAATATTATTGCTTACGGGATATCATTCTTTACCTCAAGAAAAAATGTATTGGTCTTTTGATAAGGACATTTCTATTCCTGTTGTACGAGAATCGATATCACGTTTGCAGTACAGGAATATGAAGCAGAATTTGCATTTGACAATAATCAAATTGACAATACTAATAAATTATATAACGTGAGACCGTATCTAAACTTACTAAATATCACCACTTTTTACTACTGGAAATATAAAGTCTCTTTTAGATTTCAGACGTGAAATTGTATTATTCCTTTTGCAATCTCCTATTGAGAGTGTAGAATTAGCCAGAAATAGATCAGCAACAGGAAGACCTAGTAAATACAGCATTCAAAAACCACTGCATGGAGATGGTAGACATTTTATCGTAAAATCCGATGATAGCAAAAGACTTTGTTGTAGAGTGCCATAGCCAGACTGTTTATAGATGCAAAGTATGTAATGTAGCTTCACATCATGATTGTAATGAAGCTTTTTATGCCTGAATCTTTCAATTGAAATAATCTGTATTTGTAAAAGAAATATAATGTATACTTTAATATTAAATTAATTACAAGTAAAGTGATTTGTAGATTTATAAAACGTTATACAACTAAAAGGTAAACCTGCGCTCCACTCAAAGGAAACATCACACGAGTACAATCCTACTCACTAAACATCTGTAGTCTTATTCTGCTGACGTTGCGCGAACACAACACTCACTTTTTCCACAGTTAAGAGCATTTTTTTCCAATGTAAATTTATGTCATAAATGCTTAATTTAATATTTGTTATTTTTTTCATGAGAAAAGAATCATTCCTTGTAGTTTTGGTGGTTAATAAGTTATCATGAACAAAATTTTGATCCTGGCAGTTGTGTACATGATCTTATAGGAAGTTTAATTGATTAATGCATATTCCAGTTATCACGAGCTATGAATTATTATTCAGTCATCAGAATTTTTCATTTAACACAAAAACTTACTAACTTATATATATATATATATACTTGTGTATATAATCTTTGGGTCTATGAGTATCATCAACAAAATCTATTTTACCATAAGGAAAGAAATTTTGGTAAATTTTTCTCGTCAATAATTTTTAGTGCATTTAACTTAAATCTGTAATCATCGCCAAGCATAATGTTAACAGGAAAGGTTACAATACTCCTTTATTATTTAATTACTAACATAAAAAAATTGTTTAGGCATCACTACATAAGTCATTAGTCAAGTTTTTTATGTTTTGATAAACATGCGGTGATAAAAGGAAAGTACAATAAATAATGATCCACCAGGCTGGCGTCAGATCTATGATGTATCTGCATATGATGCTTATTATGCACAGAGGGGGGGGGATCAAATGCGCATGCATAATTGTTGGTGGTGGTTTTGAGATCCGGATTTTAGATCATTCTGGATAATGGACGTCCGGATTTTGGATTTTGTACTGTATAAGACAGTAAGATAGTAATTTGACAAGAATAATACATTAAATAAAAAAAAAAAATACTTCCATGCTTGCAGTTACCTCTTGAAATATGTCTCACCAGACGCATTATAACCATCAACATTGAAAGCGATGCTTTCTCCTCTATCTTTATCATAATTTGGAGAAACAGTGTTAATGGCCATTTCAAATTCCACCTGAAATAAATATATTTATCAAAAACCTCTTGAAATCATAATATAATTCAATAAAAAATAGTACTTTCTTATTATTACATTCCAAATTATTTAAAAATACTAAGATATTTTGCAAACCATTGCCAAATGGCCACTAGTCCTAACCAGTGTCACTTTTAGTTTGTGAATCACAAGAACAGCTTGGATTACAGTTGCTACTTTGGCACAGTCCACTACAAATGAGATAATATGTTTGAAATTGTAAATTTATTGGTAATAGAAGAAATGGTGCATACATATTATCCTGTCGACCATGAAAGTTGGTTACCATGGAATCATGAAAGCTGGTGGAGATCCCGCCAAAGTTGTACCAATTGCTTATGTGGAATTCGGCTCTATTCTTATATGCGCCCTAAGATCACCAAATGTGGCGATATGCGTTCTACGCTGGTTTTTGGCATGATTGCGTGTTGTATGGCAACCCTTTTGACATTGAATACTCTTTTGCTGGAGTGTTTTAATTGCTCGTTGGTTTGTGTTGTGCGTGTTTTGAAATGGTCTATGCTGCAATGAGAGACGTGGTTGCAAGAGGGTCTGGGAGATTATTTATAATGGCTGTGCATGAAAGAAGTAAGGAAACGCTGATGCAGTGTATTATAGAGTGGATTGAGCCTTCTATAGTTAATTTTTTGGATGGCTGGAAATCTTATAAGGATTTGGGAAAAGAAGGTTTTGAACATTTATTTGTGAACCATAGTATGAATATTCTGGATAGTGTGTCTGGATGTCATATAAATACGATAGTCATTAGGTTGCAGCATGAAATTGGTATTTCTGCTGTTCGAAAAAGCATTCATTCATGGTAAGTGCATTTTATTTTATTCTTGTTCTTATTTTGTAGAATGTCATGTCCATTGTTTTTTAGTATGAATTTCTGTCGCTATTGTTGTTTTTTTCTTAATTGTTTGAAATTTATTTTAGTTATTTAGTTTATTTTGTTGATTAGTGCATAGTGCCTAGATTGTGGAATTTGTAAACGTTTTTTAAAGTTGAAACAGAATGTTGTGTACATGGTATTCTTTGAAATTTATTGTTATGTTAATTTATTAAAGCGAGGTATGCGTAGTTCGTAGATTCTTTCGCTGCCTAGATTGTGCAATTCGTAGATGTTTTTAAAGTTGAAACAGAACACTATGTACATGGTATTCTTTGAAATTTATTGTATGTTAATTTATTAAAGTGAGCTGTGCGTAGTTCGTAGATTCTTTCGCTGCCTAAATTGTGCAATTCGTAGATTTTTTTTAATTAAAACATATTGCTGTGTACATGGATTCCTGTCAAATATTTTTGGTTAGAAACTTTATTTTTTGCTATCTAAATTTTTTGTCAGATTTTTAGCTTAAATTGTGTGTTCAAAACGTGCTTTTTGCATGTGGGAAAACCACATTTTTGGAGACATTTTAGGCTTGAAGTTCAAAATGTAGACAAAAAATTTAGATAGTAATATGGCAACGTGGAGTTTCCCGCCAAAGCGCATACAAGAGTAGTTCCCGGAATTCTTGAATAATTTACGCCTCTTTATTTAATAAACAATCAATATTCAACCCACTTCGTGTTTGCACTTCATAAAATCTCTTTCATTGATTTCTACTACAATATAAAATCTTTAATCCGAACGTCCATAATCCGGACCTCAAAGCTACAAACTTTCTGCACATGCGCATATGCTTCTGGCTGTTCTCTGGATGATCTTATGTACCTGGGTATGGTTGGTATTCTTGATCCTTGTTGGTCCGGTGTAGCTGAAGCTATTCAGACTTTAAGTGGAAATGGTGCTTCTGTGAAAACGCTTACTGGGGATTCAGAAGATACTGCTTGTGCTATTGGTAAGTGATAATTTATAATACAGTCAAAAGTCTAATTCGAACGTCCATAATCCGGAATGATCTATAATCTGGATCTCAAAGCTACAAACTTTCTGTGCATGTGTAAACGCATAATGCATTTATACATGCGCATAATATGTTTATGCATGCGCATTTAATGTATAACGGACAGTATAAGCTAAGCTAAAATTATCTAAATATCTATTTCAGTTAATGTTGCAGATTGTGTTGTTCCTTAATCTTTTAATTGGATGTGGCATATTATTTTTTGCAGACTGTTAGAGCAATTTTATAAAAAGTAAGCTTGAACTTTCATTATGTCAAAAACAGTTTCCAATTCTAGAGCTGCCAAAGGATCTGCAAAGCGAAAGCATGTTTCGATGTCCATTAAACAAAAAGTGGAATTGCTGCAAAAATGGATAAAGGCTTGAAGAAAGTGACAGAGAGATGATTTCTCTAACCATTCCGAAATCTGTTTCTCAATTTCACGCTGCTCCGTGGGGAGGGGGGGGGGGAGTCACAGCGCGCAATGAACTGGAAGTTGATCTGTCAGCACTATCCTCATCTTCAAGGCAGATGTTTTTATTTTATTTGGCTTATAATTCCTTACTAAATGTAGTATTTCATCTCGATGTATTCCATCTTTGATATGATTTAAATCAAATTCATCATCATTATAAATATCACGAATACACATCAAATAATTTTCTGGTTGCAATTTTCTAATTTCGACTATGCATAATATATGCTTTACACATACGTGCATTAAAAGAAATGTTTAATAAAGTAAACAAATAAATATTAAGCTATTTTTGTAAATTTTGATACCTTTAGATCATAATTGCTCTTTATTTCATAAATTATGGTTTCATATTTTTAATTGTATAATTTCTGCATGCCATCTTACCAGATTTAAATTAATGATCTATAATCCGGAAAAACCCCTAATCCAGAATCGCCGAAGTCCCGACAAGTCCGGATTAAAGACTCTGTACTGTATTTTGTTATGCCTACAATTTTAACAGAAGATATTTTTAGAATGCTATGAGTGCCAACTTCCATTCTATTACTGTTTTGTCAGCCACATGCTGCTGACCATATCATGTCCATTAATACACACTTTTTTATGGTATGATCCCATAATTTGAAAATTCCTTGCTGTTCTGTAGAATGTAGGTTCCCAGTTCCCCCCCCCTCCATGTTTTTTTTAATACAAGAAAAAATAAACAGCAATAATAATTTATATCCTCGTTCATAAAAATGAAACATGGCTTCAAGAATTGGAATCAATTGGGGTTTACTTCAAACAAAAGCATATATGATACAAGTGCGTTGTTATTTCCCATTTACCCATAAATGATGCTAGATAGTGCTGCCTGGAGACAGCTTCACAGTCAACAGGATAATATATAAGTACCTCGGAAGTCCTCAGATTAAGCTTAGATTATTTGAATTGGATATGACAACAGCTGCGCCTATGAGAAAATGTAACTTTGTGAAAAATGTTCAAAAAGAAAAACTGGCTTACATTTATGTTACACACAGAAGAAACTGCAAAACGCCAAGCCATTTACCTCAAATCAAATTTGGGTTAAACTACTAATATTCAGTGCTTGAGACAAGAATAAGTTTTTAGTTCATTAAAAGCAATCACAGAAATATGACAACTTCAAAATGTATACAAAAAGTAATGTTTTTGCTATAAAATTCTTTTTCTTTAATTAGTAATAATATTGACATGTTTAAATAACAGGAGCCATAAAAATAAAGCACCTTCAATTGATGGTAATCATCTGATTGTTAATGAAGTAATTCATCTAAGTTCTAAAAAAAAAAAAGTATTCATTTTATAGTCAGTTAATGCATATACACGTACAGCTGGCCCTCTATTATATGCTCATTTAAAGTTCAAGCCATACTAGTTTTAAATGTGTGTTTAGGGAAATGCATACTCATGCAGCATGTGATAATGCATTTAGTCTAAGATGAGGATTTCACACAATAATAAAAGCTGTAAAATGAAAAAAAAAATATAATAATAAAATAAATATGAAGTATTTGTACAGAAAATGGTTGGTTATAAAAGGGGTATAAAAATCATGCACTAGGTATTATTACAATCACCTTAGAAGAATACAGAAAGTTTCAGAATTCTCCAAACTCTGGCAGGCAACCAGAAAAAAATTATTCAGGTTTGACAACCAACATCACCATTTTCATATATGTTTTGTTGTACTTATGTATAAGTAAAAAAATTCATTACAAATTTTTGTGATTAAAAAATACCATATACATTATTGCTTACCAAATTATTCTGCTTGCATAATTTCAGGTAAAACTGAAGCTTTTTTAAGTAATTTCATAACAATCACATGGGGAAACTACAGTAATATTTTAAGTATTTATATATATATATTTTAAGTATTTTAAGTACAATATATTTTAAGTACAGTTATATTAGTACATTTAAAATAACAAATTTTTCCCCATTGGTTTTGAAACAAATTTCAATTTCTTTCTAGCACATGCAAGCATCAATGAAGAATGCAGAATGATATATCTTAAAACCAATAATTTTATTTAATCTGATGACAACATTTAACAGTATGTTTTCATTTTTCATATTAGAAGGCAGCATTCTATAAAATCAAAAATTCTGTTATTGTGAAAAATATCAACATAAGAATTAATTAGATTTATTGAAGTCAGAGGCCCTGAAAAATACTAATTTTAGAAAAAATTTACTTAAGAAAACATCTTTTCATAAAACTTCAGAAAATTGCATACAGAATTAAAATATGTGATTTTAATTATTCTTTTCATCAACTTATATTTTTTATCGAAAAACTTATTTCCATGACTAAAAAAACAGAATCCCTCCTTCATGCAGTTAAGAATTAATAGTTTTTGTAAAAGCAATTGGTATAAAAAAATGCAAAACCCTTTTTATCGCAATTTTAATTTATGTTCTTTTAACAGTTATAATACCATTACAATGAACTACCAATTTACAGGATGTAGATTACCTCAGCTGCAAATCAACTTCAGCTAATATTCCTTTGGACTAAAAATTTTAAAAACAGCCTAGCTTTAGAATTTCCGATAAATAGTTTCACATGGTGGAGGTAATTTTTT